TCACCTCACCAAATCTGGCCCTCCTTGCAAAAAGTTTGGACACCCCTAGGTTAGACTCAATGGACTTTTAGGCCCCTTCCAACTCCACTTCGTTCTGAATGTTCCATTCTATTGCTTCAGAAGCACACGAAGATACACCAATTTTCTGCACTTTCCATCATGTCCAAAGAAGACCTCACTGCTTGGCAAGTGGTATTGGTTTTTAGAAGTGTTTACTTGACATTGTGCCCTTGACCTTATTTTAAATACAGTTTAGGCAGCACATATTTAAATTTAAAGCCTTGTTTCCAGATGTAAATTCCCACACACGACTTCAGTTGTACAAAACTAAATTCAGGACAAAGGCCTCCTGCCATTTGTCTAAGTTACCAGTGACCCAACAACATTGGCAAAACAGTCTTGTTACAAGTCAGGGAGCTGGATGCTGAATCTGGGTTGTCACAAGGGAGGCCATGTTGATTCATTCATTACATTTATCTCTTCCATACCCAACAGAGCAGCCTGTGGGGTAGGTTAGGGGGAAATTGTGCAATTGTTCCAAGGTCACAGCTGACCAGTGGTTTGACTCAAGCCTGCCTGAGAATTGCTCTCCTATGGCGCTCTGTTACACTGATTTCTTACACAGAGGTCCCAAACCGTAAGGGAAAATAATCTCTGATTAAATATTAGAAATATCATATTATTCCACTGTAAGGCAATTCCATGCAGTAGGCACCTTCCCACTTTTTCAGTCCCCAAAAAGATTCCACATGCACACACACTCCAGCTTCGTGAACTAGCTATAGACAAACACATTCAGGGTACAATTACTTGCTTGCTTATTTATAGCATTTCTATACCATGCCAATAGCCAGTCAGCACTCTGGACAGTTTATAAACATAATAACGTAAAAACATAATCATGGTTCACCCACACTAGAGACATTCAAAAAGAAACTGGACATCCATTCGAGTGGGATGGTGTAGCTTGGTGTCCTACAACAGCAGGTGGTTGGACTCGAAGGCCTTATGGCCCCTTCCAACTCTACTATTCTATGATTCTATAGTAACAAAATCCAATGTCACAAGAAGACAAAACCAAGAACAATTTCACAATCATAATCAATAAAAGCAAAGTATAAAACCAATAACAGTAATGAACAGAATATAAAACCAATACCAATTAAATAATTAATCTGCAGTGCCACAGTAAAATAAAATATAAAATTTCAACAATTAAAATAAGGTTTTATCCTGGTGCTGAAAGTTACAGAGCATCAGTGCCAGGCACACCTCTCTGGAAAGTTGGTTCCACAAACAGGGTGCCACAGCTGAAAAAACCCCTCTCCTGGTAGCCACCTTTGTTATATCTTTTACAGGTGGCTCTTGGAGAAGGGCCTTAGTTAATAAAATCCTAGAACTACCAGTATTTCCATGCTTGCTTGGAGGCCTTAAAAAATCTAAACATCCATAGGATTGTTCCCATAAGTAGGAAAGATATCCAGAAATAGCATTTAGTTGAATTTGTGATGGGGAGAGTAGGGTCTGATGGAGAATACAGCTGATACTAAAAGAGGAGATTGGCTACAGGTCCTGGTTGTTTTCCTACATTCATTTTAAAATAATAGGACTTTCATAATAACTAAGGAGGTCAGACTGGGGGCGTCAAATCTTGAAAACAGAGTGTGTTGGGTGGTTCATATCAGTTCAATCTGACCAGGTCACTGAAATGTCTAGTTCTACAACTCAGAAGTTCTGCACAGTGCATGGGATGATGACCTCTTCCCCAGTGATGACGTTTTAGGTCGGGTTTGCTTACTTAAGTTGGTGGATGGCCCAACTGTTGCCTTCTTCCCTCTTTGGGGGGTTCCTCCTGGGATGAGGATGGCCTGCTCTGAGACAGAAACACCAGTGACTTGGGAGTACCGCTTTGGCTGGTCATTGTGACCTCATTCAATTGTTTATGACAGTGTGGGCGATGTCACTTGCTTTTTAGTATGACTGCCCATGAAATGGTCAATGGCAAAAGAGGTATCCTTTTTCTAAGCAGGAAAGCTCAGGGATTCCACTTTGGTCCCAATCCAGCATCTTGGAGTCAGAAATACAAGATCCTCTCTTCTTGTTCTTCCTCCAGCCAGATGTTCTTGGCTGCCTTAACAGCTTGGCCTTGGGTTTGTTGATGCTTCTGAGTGCCAGCTAGGCCCTAAACAAAATCTCCCTATCTGTGACTATATTCTGGATGAGAAAGCCAACCTGGTGGGCATTACTGAGACCTAGGTGACCACTAGATCCCCTAGGTTCTGGGGGATTTCAGCTTACATGTTGAGGCTGCTGGATCTGGCGTAGCTCAGGACTTTGTGGCCACAGGATAAGCATAGGGTTGCCTAAACATATCAGTCCAACACATGTAAGGAGATACACACTTTATTTGGTTTCTCCCCTGGGCAAGAGGACGGTAATCTGAAAGTGGGGGAAATAGCAGCTATTCCATTGCAGGAATTCAACTGCACCTATTCAGAACAAAAAGAGCAAAAGTTTTGCCACAATATAGCTGCTAAAAATCTGACTCTATAAGAACAGTTTTAGACTTAAGAAGGGATGCCTGCTCTGATCAGGAATCCATGTTACAAGTCTTGCTTCCCAGATACACATTAGAAATCCTCATCTCCCTGTCCTGAAAGGTCTTCCTTTGGGACACACCTTAGACATGCTAATGTTTTCCTGTCCTGAAGGTTCCTCTTTTTGTGTGGTGTTCAACCCTATTGCTTTACCCAATTGTGCATCTGGCACTGTGTACAAGACCCCCCACCTGATCCCCCTTCCCCCAAACTGTATATGTAAAAGCATCCTGTACATTCTCTTTGAAGCTCTTTTGGGGGCTACCAGAAGTTGCATATATTTCCTTTATGTCTGAGTAAACTGCGCATGTTCTTTTGACTGTGCACACCTCCTCTCCCTGCTTTTTTGTCACCGTGTTTAGATCACTTCTTATTGAGGTTTGGACTTCCAGTGCCCTTCCCACTCAGCAAAAGTGGACAACCCAATAGCATTGTCCTACCATGGAGGTCAACGGATTCCAGTGGACTTCAGAGGACTTCAGGGAATTGTCCTGATGGCTGGTGCTCGTGTGGAAGCCCAAGTCACCCTGTAGAGTGCAGAAATGACCTGGGGAGTGGATCATTTTTGAACAGAGCCTGGCCATTCACCTGTGCTGAGGGCACTAAAGCAACAAGGGAAGATAGCTAGACCGCACATGGACGACAGCTTGTGCCAAATCTAACTAAACACTGGTTGGGAGCTCTTTCTCAAGCCTAATTGGTGGCAGTGATGGTGGCAAATGGAAAGCTCTCTTCCACGGCCTTTGTATCTTCTCAGTGTCATCCAGCTGAGTGTTTCCAAATGGTTTATGGCGTACTGTAATATGGGCCAGGGAGAGAAATAACAGGTTGTAGGTAAAGCACAATTAATAGAATGTGTCTTGAATTCTGTATGAAACTGCAAAACAAACATCAAAACTCTTAGAACCACCATCTTCATGCCAGCATTCTCATCAGGATTAAAATTCCCATGTTCTCCAGACAGTCTCCATTGTATTTCATGTAAATGCAATATCTGCCTTCTCTTGTGGGGACTAAGGTAGCCCTCGAATGAATGGTACTGACGGCCCAGCTAGACCATCTCTGCATGGCTTACTTGCTTCCTGCTGGATGACTGTGTCCAATCACAGAGCCACCAGACTGTGAGTAGCACAGATCAACCTGGCAGGGTTCAAGCTTTCAACATGGTGGTCCTTGGCCAGCCTTTCCTGTCCAGGTGCCCTCCACATGGATTGGACTTCACCCAACCAAATGGCCGATGGTCAGAATTGTAGCACAAAACATCCAGGAGTAACTAGACTGGGAAAGGCCATCACAGATCAAAACAACCCAAAAACACACACATACACATGTGCACAAACACAAGGGACAGCAATGTACAAGGGCAGCTGCTGTTTGCTGGCTTCCTCTCCCAGGGTCACAGGCAACAGACAGGAGCTCAGAAGGTGTTGTAAGCCTTCACCCACCCCTAGTGGGTCTTGTCGTAAGTTCCAGAGCCCTTGTAGGCCCCAATGCAGCCACTGTTCTCGAGCAGGTCTGTGCGCCCAGCTATCCCCTTGCCCTTGCCGCTTTCGTCAAAGCGCTCCTTGAGAGCCCGTCTATTTGCTGGTGTCTGTCAGTCTGTCCACTGCACCGGTATGGACAGATTTCTGAAAGATAAGAAAGCTGCAAGTCAGCAGGAGCAGTGATTTCAGTGGGGTATAGGTTGGGTTGGGTTGGTTTTCCTTTGGGGCCATTTTCAAGTTGCATACATTATATACTTACTTTCCCTTATTCTTCATAATTTGTTTCACAGTGTTTAGTATTTGGCATCATATATTCTGGTTTTGCCAAGAAGCAGAATACTTAAGTTCCCAGCTACTGGGATATTGTTGCCTGGCTTCTCAGTTTTTAGAAGGCATTTATTTATTTCTATCTATCCTCCCACCCCTCTTGCAAGAAATCCAAAGTGGGGTTACATGGTCTTCCTCTTGTCTCTTTTATCTTTACAACAACCCTGTGAGGTAGGTTAGGCTGCAAGTCAGTTCCTGGCTCAAAATCACCTAATGAGCTGCATGGCTGAACCCAGATCTCCTGGGTCTCTGCCCAACATTCCAACCAATGTGCCACACTTAGGGTGCTTTCAAGCATAATTTTACAGCACAAGGACTAGAAATTTCTTTGGGGGAAAATCCAGAAAGCTGAGATTCTTACAAATGCTAGGTCCAATATTATATTACCTGCTGCACATTTTTCCTTATGCTCGCAGAAACACAAATGCCACAGCTCTGCAATCAACTCATTTCTGCATGATTTTTAAAGTATGTGCGAATGCTCCCTCTTCATGGGAAAGGGGCCACTCACTGTTGTTCCGGCACTGGCTGGCTCTTTGCCCTCCATCAACTTGAACGTGGCTAGCAGAGCCTCCTCAGGGATCTTCCCCTTGAAGCGCTTGCTGCTCAGCTCCTTAACGGCTTGCTGGAACTCGATGTAGTTGATGTTGCAGGCCCCCTTGGTCCTGAAGGGGGCAGATGGAGAAGACGGCTTACCTCTGAGCCCCTCCACCTATTCTGTTTGCATGTTTCTTTCTTTTTTTTTAAGTTTTATTAAGATTTTAAACTAATACTAAAAACATCAAACATCACATACATCAGATTTACTAGGTCAACCCCCTACTACATATTTTTTAACATTCTATAGTCAAATTCAAATCAGTTTATAAAAACTTGAAAACATCTCTAAATTTACGCCAAGTCCCGTTTCTCCAGCCAATTATAGAAAAAATCCCAAGTTTGATAGAAGTCAGTGTCCTCTTTCTCCTTCAATGATAAAGTCAGTCTATCCATTTCTGTGCAGTCCAAAATCTTTCTTAAAATCAGTTCATCGGTGGGTAGCTCCTCACTTTTCCAGTATTGAGCAAATGCAATCCTCGCCGCTGTGATTAAATGTAACATCAAATACATTTCCTGTCTGTTAATGTCTTCTGGTATGATGCCTAACAAGAAAGCTTAAGGTTTAAAAGCAAAGGGTTTTTGTAGTATTTCCTCCATCCATCTATGTATTTTAATCCAATACCTTTTCGCATTATCACAAGTCCAACTGTTTGCATGTTTCCAATTAGTCACTCAGGATCCTGTATGGGAGGTCCCACCCACATTATCTTTTTTTTTTATAAAGATTTTTATTAAAAAAAATTTTAAAACTAAAAACATCAGTCATCAAATACTTCAGATGTACTGGGTCAGTGCCCTATAACATATATTTTTAACATTCTATAATCAAGTTCAGGTCAATTTATAAAAATTTAAGAACATCTTTAAAACTAAGCCAAGTCCCGTTTCTCCAGCCAATCATAAAAAAGGTCCCAAGTTTGATAGAAGTCAGTATCTTCTTTCTCCTTCAGTAATAGAGTCAATCTGTCCATTTCTGCACAGTCCAGAATCTTTTTTAAAATCAGTTCCTCAGTGGGTAGTTCCTCACTCTTCCAGTATTGAGCAAGCGCAATCCTCGCCGCTGTGATTAAATGTAGCATCAAATACATTTCTTGTTTGCTAATATTTTCCAGTATAATGCCTAACAAGAAAATTTCAGGTTTAAAAGCTAAGGGTTTGTTTAGCATTTCCTCAAGCCATTTATGTATTTTAATCCAATACTTTTTCACACATTCACAGGTCCACCACATATGGTAAAAAGTACCCACATCATGTTTACACTTCCAACATCCGTTTGACATATTTGTAAACATCTTAGCTAATCCACTTGGTGACAAATACCATCTATAAAACATTTTATATAAATTTTCTTTATACAAAGTTGCTAAAGTTACCTTAATGTTTCTTTCCCATAGCTTTTGCCACTTTTCTAATTCAATATTATATCCAAAATTTTGTGCCCATGTTATCATAGTTTCCTTAACCTGTTCCCCTTCCATCTTCCTGTCAAGTAAGAACTCATAAATTCTTTTGATCGTTTTCTCATCTGTTTTTAGCATCACTTGATCAAAGGCTGTTGGGTCTTTATAAAACCCCCATATTTTACAATCTTTAGCATATCTTGATTGCATCTGCACCCTCTGTTCTTGTATTTCTTGATCCACCCACATTACCTTGACAACAACCCTGTGAGGCGGGTTTGAGTCAGACATGGGCATCAACTCAGAGTCTCTGACTGCTGAGAAGGGGTTCGGACCCAAAATATATCAACTACGAGCCATGCTTTTCACTGACTGGCCTGCCCTAGCTCTGCTCAGTATATCCCTGCCTTCTGCAAGGTTTCAGACCTCCACCAGCGCCAGCCAGCATGGCCAGTGATCACGGATGCCTGGGTTGTCCAAGGGTGCTGTATTCTCTTCCAACTCTCTTCCAGACTAGAGCAGCATAGCAAAGGGCAGGGAGAGTGGAAATATTGACAGAAGCAGTTAGCATGGGCATTCTGTGGAGCTACCTCTAAATAATAATTAACACAGAGTGTCTAGAACACTTTGATGTGTTATCACAGTGATCCTTCCAACAGCCCTGTAAATAGAGATACTGCAGTGAGGGCTGAGATTGGAAGGGCAGTGGCTTAACAATGACCCCTTGGTGAGTTCAAGGGTAAGATGTGATCTCCTCTCTCACCTAACTTTGCCATTGTATCAGGGTGTCTGTCCTATCAGGTAAGTAGGCCAACAACAAGATATTGCCGCATGGAGCTCCCCGTTCCAACCTGCCAGCCAGCCAACTCTCTACCATATTTTTCCATTCCATTCCTATTCCCTTCCCAGCTCACTTTATTCATTATTAAATACAAACTTTATCATGCTTCTCTGATTTTATTGTCTTGTTTTATGGATTGTTGTAAACCACCCAGACAGGGTCAGATATGGGGTGGTATAGAAATGAAATCAATAATAAACCATTTATATGCTGCATTTCAAGTCCATGCGGCCCTCTCAATGGAGTGCACACAGCATAATTACAGTAAAATCACAGACATATAATTAGAAAACCAGCATAAACACTACCAAATTAAATCATCTAAAACACATGCAACAGCAACAATTTAAAAACCATCATCTTGAAAACCTTCAACCATTTCAAAGTAATCAGCAAAAGCAGACTTTACACCAGTTTAAAACACACAGAGGACGGGAAGCCTACAAACATTTCTTGTGGGTGGGAGGTCCACACTGCAGGGCCACCACCGGGAAGGCCCTGGTCGCAACAGAGCACAGCCTCAGCAGACAATCTGAACAGCCAGGCCGGTCCATATAGGAGCAGGCAGTCCTGCAAATAATCTGATCCCAAGCCATTTAGACCTTGCAGGGCCAGCATGGTGAATCAGTCTCAAAGTGCACTTGCTCACCTGATTCCCACAAGCAACTGAGCAGCTTCCATCCAAATCTGGTCCAAAGGGGACCCCATGCAGAGCATGTTGCAGAAGGTTTTCCATTCCCCCCTCCCACTTTACATCACCCACAGCATACAGCATTTACGGCCAGTCTGGGATTTTGGATTATCTCCTGACCCAGCCCTCCAAGGCCGGGAAGCACAGCCTTTTCAGCACCAAGGGTTGCATGCGGCAGTGGCTCAAGGGCGATCTTCCTGGTGGTGTGGAGAATAAGCCAGCAGAGGCAGAGCCAAGAGGGGATGCTGGAAGCGGGGGCAGGGGCTGCAGCCAAGCAGAGTGAGTTTGTGAGGATGGCACCTGCAACTTTTCCTCCTCCTTCTCCATTCCTTTTTCCTCGAGTGTCATGTCTTTTTAAATTGTAAGCCTGAAGGCCAAGACTGCCTTCTTTTACTGATGTTTTTGTAAACTGCTCCAGTAGCTGTTTTTGCTTAAGAAGTGGGATAAGAACTCTCTAAATAAGCAAATGCATAAATAGCTTTTAAATACTATTTTTAGAAGAGAAGCACCTGCAATGTCTAGACATAAAAAAGAGGTGAAAGGATCCTACAGCAACCAGCAGCGACCTTGATGGCCCCCCATTCCAGCACGTACTTAACTATTCCATTGAGAACAATGGAATGGAAAGTCTGTTACTCTAGTTCCATCACGCCCTTTTCCCCACCCTCACTTTGTGGGTGATCTCACTTGGCCATATTAATCTTCTGTGGTTTAAGGCATCTTTGACAAATACTATAACATTACTTCGAAGCAAATTCCAGGCAAGTGCATACCTGCTCACAGCCTCAGTTGTAATTGGCTATCCCTCCACCCCAGCCAGAAAGAGAGAGAGAGAGAGAGAGAGAGAGAGAGAGAGAGGCGGGCGGTGCAGGGCAGGGCAGGCAGGCAGGGGAGTGAGGAAGAGAGAAAGGAAACATCGGAGGAATTGCAGAAGAATTATCTCCTGGTTAGAGTACATGAGGTTGCAGCCTAACATGAACAAATCAAATTAGAATATGCACACTAACATCGTGTCACAGTTGAAACATAAAAATCACAGCCTGTCTGCCCACACACCTCCTCCAAATTCTGTCTTTACACACCAGCAGGAGAAAATCACTACTACAAACACACACTCAGCATGGAACAACAGCTCACCCATCTCTACTATTCTGAGATTTTATACCACATCAAATATACAAGATAGAAACATTAATTTGCATTGCCCTGGATATTAAATGCAGAAAAAACGCACCAGCATGACAAGCGTGAAAGCACAACTGCTTTTCACTGCCAGCTAGTACAAGTTGTAATCCTGCATGTACTTACCCAGAAATAAGTCCCATTGAACTCAATGCAGCTTACTTCTGAATAAACAGTATAGGAGTGCACTGTAAAAAAAAAAAAAAAAATAGCAGCAGTGGGGAAAGAATGAGGACGCATAACAGTGAGGTGAGTTGAGGTGGGGTCCATGTCTGGCCACTGCCCATCAAGCACAACACATCCAGACTCACAAAAACAATATTTTGCGAAATATGATTCTTGCGATCTCATTGCTAGTAACTTGCTCTCGCCTCCCTGCTTTGCAATCGTTGCAAGAAGGAGACGCTCAACCCAGCAAAGGCATGCGGCTACAAGAACAGAGAACCTGGCAATCAGCACAACAAAGGCAATGAGCTTACAAAGGTGAGGATTTCTCACTTCCAGGCTGCAGATGAATATTTGCATTCAAGAGCTTGCAACAACAGCAGAACAGCTTCCAGACAGAATGGGCTTTGCCAAAACCACAGAGAAAGGCTGGCGGAAGTGAGGAGCTCTCCTTTCAAGGCAACAGAACCGGTTGGTGGGCAAGTCTGGGGCCACATAAAGTGTCCCAATGGAAGCAGCCTCCCCTCAATGGCCATGGGGACTGGGCTAAGCTTCATGGGTTCAAAAAACTACACAATCCCCCCAAACACACATCCTTCAACAGGGGTGTCTTTATTCCTAGCCCTTCTCATCTTCTGCATCTCAATTAGGCTGTCCAGGCACATCATCCCCACATAGTTCAAGGAGAGGCTGCTGCTATAACTCTGCGACCATCCGCAGTCACCCTCCCCTTGCACTGCTCAATTGCAATCCTGCTTTTGCAAAAGCTTTCTTCTCTCAACTTTCATCAGGAGTCGTTTCAATTCCTTGCTGTTTTCTGTTCATATTGTTCAAAATCCTGTGTATTGGAATTTTGAAACAATCCAAAATATGCAGAATTTAAACCAACGTGAACAGCTAAAACAGGCTTTGTTGAACGTTTAACACCAGTGATGGGACAACATCATCTACTCCCATTTGAAGGCAGTTGGCCAATTTAAGACGCACGCAGCAGGTTGCATTGCTCATAGGTCTTTCTTCCTGCACTGCTGCTACCTCCGAGCTTCTGCTGCCTGAAGTAACTGCTTCACTGTCTAATGATAGGACTGGCCCTGTATATTCAGGATAGAACTTCCCACCAAGTTCTTACTAAAAGAGAAGGGAAATTGTCTGCCTTACACAGAGTATAAAGCAGGGGTGAAAAACCTCCAGTCTGGAGTCTCAGTCTAACCTTCCAAGATTTTTCAGATGGCACACCTCTTCCCATGTCCCCACTCTCTCCACACCTAGGCATTTGGTGGTTTTCCAGCTATTGTGCAGCTTTATCTGCGTTCCTTCTTGCAGTAGCTTGCGTATCTTGCAGTTCGAAAGCATGCAAATGCAAGTAGATAAAAAGGTGCCACTTCGGTGGGCAGGTAACAGCATTCCGTGCACTTCGGTGTTTAGTCATGCCGGCCACACGACCATGGAGACTGTGGACAAACGCTGGCTCCCTCTGCTAGGAAATGGAGATGAGCACCACCCCCTAGAGTCAGGCATGACTGGACTTAATGTCAAGGGGAAACCTTTACCTTTTTATCTGCGTTCCAAGCATATTGAAAAGCTTCTCCTAAAGCTCAGTTACTGACCATTTAGAGATTTATACTAAAATGTATTTTGCAATGTTTTTAACTTTATGAGCTTGGTCCAACTCACCACTGGCCGTCAGCTCCCAAGAACATCTCCAAAATGGAATTTGGCCCCAAGGCTAGAAGAGGTTCAACATTCCTGGTATTTAATGTGTAAATGTGGTTTATTGTGTTGAGTACCACAGAAAGCAAGGCTAAGCAGAACATCCAAGCCTTGGGGATAAAGCATTCCCCACCAGCCCTGGCTCCTTTCATCCCTCGCTCACTTGACTTTGTTGAAGACGATGTCCACATCTATGCTGGTCACAGCCTTCCCATCCATGACACCACACTCCCTCAACATCTTGGAGAAGTTCTTGCCCGTCATGTTGTTGCCAGTGGAGGCTCCATCTCCGTATGTGGCAAAGCGACGGAAGGCCTTTTCCACCTCGGACATTCTTTGCCTATTTGAGGAGGGAAGTACTGAAGGACGGTAAGGCAGTGGTTTTCCTGGTTCAGAGAATCTCAAGGCCAAATCTAAATATTAGGGACACACTTAGCTGATGTTTATCAATGTCCTCTCATTTTTCAGCAAGCCTTGAGGTCAGTTTTTCAATGTGTGCCTCTATGACAGGTTTTGAAGGTCAAACTTGGAAAATGTATGACTCTGAAGCTTCAGATTTGAAAAATTCAGCCATTTGAAATGTTTTGACATTTCTACTCAACTACATTAACCATTGGATCCCCATCCAGAACACACTTCCAAGAGGCTCCATCAAAGACAACAATCTGCATCTGGACTGTTCAGGAAGCCTGGTCTCCTTAGGAATATTTGAGACCCTTTCTCTGAATGTTTAGCCTTAATTAAAAAGAGCAGGCAGGAGAGCCCTTTGGCTTATGGAGATGGAAGGAAAAGCAGATAGTCAGGTTCTGACCCAACTGCTCCCTGAGAACTTCTCCCAGCTTCCACTGCACTAGCCAAAACATAATCATGAAACAGTGAAAACTAAGAAGTACAAGGAACTGCATTTTCAAAAAAATAATTTTTATTCATATGTAATAAAATGTATTAACTGTAAGCATATTAGGCCATGGCTGTTCTGAAGGGATTTCCACCAACACTGCCAAGACACTCTGCACTGCAACATTTCTTGCTCTGGGTTGGCCTTGCCTCTCGCCTCACTCCAATCCATCCAGCCTTAATACCCAACTAAGAGACAAGTGACATTTTTGGAAACCAAAACCACATGTTCTTCCCTTCAAACTGTAAACAGATTTACCTGAGTTTACACAGAGTCAAGAGCTGGATGTACTGCCTAGGAGGGGTACAGCTGCTCTGTGCTGGCAGAACCGTAAGGTCTAAGCATGTATTTTGCTTATGGTGGTGATTATGTCTTCGTGGCTTGCCTATGATATCATAGCTGACATCATTTTGGCACCATATCAAGGAAGAAGGAAAACAGGTCTGCAAGGTGAAGGGACACCTCTCCGAAACTGTCAAAAAACATAGATGCTAACTCCGCTTTGAAAGATACTGATATGCTGTCAGCAAGCAATGACATGGGTTTAAAGTTTTCTGCTGTGTGCAGGTGCAGCTCTGGATGGGGAAAGCAAACACCAGATGGAGGAGGAGGCAAGAGCCAGCCATTGATGCTTAACAAAGGGAATGAAACAGGATGATGGTGTGTGGGTGTCTGACCAGCTTCGTTACTTCACATTTAAACATCCATCTGGGCTAATCAGGAAAGCGGGTCTGAATTCAATGTGCCAGGGAAACAAATCTCAGGTCACTGCACCAGTGTCCACCCAGAACAGCAAGTGTGTGGCCAAAGTACACTGCTGTTAACAAGGCAGTCTTGCAAAACAAGTGATGTGGGGTGCTTTGTGCCATCATGGCAGGGGTGTCTTTGGGGCAGATGGGCAGTGCCCCATTCAGCAGAACGAGGACAGCCCTCAGAAGCAGTTAAAGCAGTCCTGAGTACATTTACACCAAAAAATGCCCCAGCATTCACCTGCCAGCATTGTGTTGTAGGACTTGTCTCTGTCTAAAAGGTGGATGGGATGGTGGTCTAATTAGCATTATCCTCTAAAGGTCTTACACTGGAAATGCCATTCCTATATATTTTGGCAACATCTCTATAATGTGTCCCATCACATGCCTTTCAATTAGGACTACAAAACTTGAATCAATCCATGGAAACGACTATCCAGGTTAAATTGTAAATTATTTCAGTGTAACTGCTCAGTAATTCAGCAGGGCTGATGACAAGATCTCCAAGATTTTGAACCCTGGAAGGGCCTATTCAGACAGGAAAAACATCTACACAACTTCAACTATTACCCAGACTTCCCTGTTTCTGCTCATACATACAAAGAATTACATTCTAAATCATTTTATTCCTGATGGTCTTCAAACATGTTTAACAATTAAAAGAAATCTAGGTATTGGCATGTTGATGTCAAATACTCATTCCTAAATGGGATGAAGGAAAAACAAGTACTGAAGTACATCTTTCCTTTTAATGATCAGTAGTTATTAATATTGTCAAGTTATCTCATAGTTAAACCAGTGAAATTTTCTCCTTTTAGCATCCTCACTGAGCTGTTCCATTATGTGATTTGTTTAAAGTTAAGCAAATACCACAAGGTTCACTGGGTTTGACCCAGACTTGAAATCAGTGGGACAACTCATGAGTAACTTAAGTCCTATTGATTTCAGTGGGCACGCTTAAAATTTTTCTAATGCTATTCATTTTTCTTAGTCAACCCATGCTTCTTGCTAGCCCTCACTTTATCATCTCCACTTCAGTGACAGCCAGAAGAGCACAGAAATACTGGGAAATTTTCCCAAGGTGCTTTAGGGAAGCATCAAGTCCATGCAAAATAATGAGACTGTGGCTTGGTCCTCTGCCCAGCCTATCAGCTGAGTGGCATTTAGTCACTCAGCCATGGATGTTGTGCCAGTACTTGAAAGAGGATGGCATTCTGTACAGGTGCAAGAGAGGACAGTTGGCTGCCCAAGGCAGAAAATCCAAAGGGTTGCCCACCATGGTAGTAAAAAAGTGATGGTTAAACTAAAATTATTACGTATTTGCTAGCCCTTAGCAATATCACCAGACCTGCCACTCAGGCTGCCTGCTTTCCTGGCCCTGCCTCCGGGTCCAGAAAAGGAGTCTGTTTCTCCCTCCGGTGTACGTGCATGTGCTTGCGCAAGTAGGAGAGCTGAGTGAAAAGGCTGCCACAGATGGTGCACTCATAGGACAGCTTTGTTGTGTGCACCTTCTTGTGCTTTGTCAGGTACGAGCGCTGGGCAAAGCACTTCTTACAAGTGGGGCAACTGTAGGGCTTCCCCTCTCGGTGGATGTGCAGGTGCCTTGTCAGGTACGAAGGCAAGCTGAACTGCTTTTGGCATATGGGGCAAGTGCAAGATTTGTCTCTCCTCACCAGCAGGGAAGTTTGTTCCATGAACCACACAGGTCTGCTCAGGGAGGGGGGCCCTTGAGGGCTCTGGTTAGCGGTAGCAGGTGGACACCCACCGGAGGTGGCCGTGTTGTTTGCAGGCAACGTCTTCTCCTGCAGCATGCAGGTGACATCCTGCTGGGCTCCACTCGGGGTGCTCAGGACTGTGGGCTTGTTCATGACCATCTCGAGTGAGCTCCAAGTGTGTGGCAACCCAGCACCAGCCGGGATAGCCACCTCAAGGGAAGACAGTTTCACAGGCTGCGTATCAAAGCTGCTGTCCTCATTCCCACAATATCCACACTCACAGGCCTCCACAAGGGACAGGATTTTGGAGTCTTCTCTGCTACCCACCTCCCAAATCCTTTCCAGAGGAAGCAGTCCCGAACTACCATGCACCCTAGTGTGGCATTCGCCACACTCGCAAACTTTCAGGCTGGCCACACACTGGCAGTACTCCCCAGAATCTGAGGGGAGCCGCGGCTGCTCTGAGGGGGTGTTGTCCTTGGAAAAACCTTCCCCCCACACATGCCGCTGCCTCTGGCCTCCTCCTCCATCGTCATCATCTTCTTCTTCTTCTTTGTGGCTCTGCTCATGCCTATTTTGGTGCTTCCTTAGTTGCACGTACCGTTTGAACCGGCACCCGCAAACAGCACATCCATAGGGGCGCTGTTCAGAGTGAGTGTACATGTGCTGGCTGAAGTCGAACAGCTGCTGAAAGCCTTGTCCACAATGGTCACAAATGTAGGGCTGCTGGGCCTGTGTTGGACCGCCGGGTGTTACAGTCTGGTTTTTCCTACGGAAGTGAGTGCGTTCGTGCCGGGCACAGTCAGAAGGCCACGGGAAGCCTTTGCCACACTGGCTACAGGGGTAGGATGCCTTGAACAGGCGAAACTGACCTTTCCGTAACTTCCCCCTAGTATGGGTGCGTTCATGCCGCACACGATCAGAATTGTACTGGAAGCTTTTCCCGCACATAACGCAGATGAAAGGTGTCTTGAACTGGCGACTGCTAAGCAGCCACTTCTGTAACTTCCCCCCAGCATGAATGCACTTATGCCGGGTAAAATTAGACAGTCGCTGGAAGCTTTTCCCACACTGACTGCAGGTATGCGACTTCTTGAATTGGGCATGCTGCTCTGTCACAGCCTGAGAACTGTGGCTGAGTGTCTGGTGGCTCTTTGTAAAGGGACTGTCTGCTTGCAGCAGGACAGGGCTACTTATTAAAGGACCTGAGCCATTTACCTTTGACTGGCACTGACCTCCTCTGCCAGAGTGCACAAGCTGATGCTGGGCAAGCTCAGAGAGCCCTAAGTCCTCACCACTCCGGTCAAAGACATGCAGATTCTCTGTACAAGTGCTCCAGTCAGTTATTTGCATACTCTCTTGGCAGAATGTTTCACAGGAGTCCCCAGATGTATCTTCTGCTTTCAGTGGCGCAGGGAGTGATGCCGATGGGTCTGACTGGCACAAGCCCCCTCTAGCCGCATTCCCCAGGGAGTGCATGTATCGACAGTGCCGGGCAAGCGCAGAGAGCCACCGGAAGTCCTTCCCACAAAGATTACAGCGGTGCAGATTCTTGGGATGTGTGCTCTGGTCTTCAGTCATTAAATCTGAGTTTTGACAAATGGCTTTGCAAGAGTTTTCTGTCCCTCTTTGCAAGGGCTCTGGCACCAGGGGACTTGAGCTGCATTCTTCCAAATGGACTAAGTTCTGACTAGCCACTTTTCCCCCAGAGTGTACAAGCTGACGTTGGGCAAGTGGAGAGGACCACTGGAAGTCCTTCCCACACAGATCACAGTGCTGCAGATGGTTGGTCTGGGTGCTCTGCTCTGCCTTGAGCAAACAAGATTTAGATGTTTCACGAGAAGCTGCAAACGTGTCCTCTTCCTCCAGGGGCACAGGGGCAGGCACAAGTGGATATGGGCTGCATGACTCTGGTTCCTGGACCTGACTAGCTGTTTCCCTTCTCAAGAGATCAAGATGAGGCTGGGCAAG